GAACAAAACTTCCTATAATCTTTGTCATCATAGAATCTTATGATCCCCGCTTTATGGGAACTGCCATGACCAACAGAAAACATTCCGTCTTCATCAACGTTGTCACTATCAATCAAACTTCTTTTCCTCTTGGAAAGTGAAGTAGAGAATTCCTCTATAACCTCTTTCATCTACTTAGGAAATGATAAATCCTACCTATACCATCACTATTTTTAAACACATGTCGTTGCCTTCTCATTATCATTGTAGCTATAGAGATCAACAATTGATCAAAGACACACCCTGTCAGGTACTGTATCCAAGTTATTCTCTGTATCCAAGTTCATCCCGAGTAATAGTACCACGAGGATAATCACCAAAGCCACCAGACAGCTTTATGATGCCAATGAAGCAAGATGAGCTATTCAATGAAACTCGTATTGTAAAGAAGAAGAAAGAGACTGATTCAGAAAGGAGGGTCGAGCCTCGACTATATACATGTAAGTTTTTTACTTTTCATTAAGTATTTTGATTTACTTTTATATAAATTTTGAAATACTAATTCAATATATATAATTTTTCATATAGGTTCGCTTCACATGCAACTGACGTGGGGGAATTCATACGCAGTCAACCACCTAATGAATCGGGCGAGGCAATCCAACTTTCGGACGAGGATGCTGAAAGAACACTCCTTGAGTACTTTATATACTTTGAACTAGACAAAAAAATTTAGTTCTATTGTGTTAGTTCTTTTTAGTTCGAATGGGCTTGTAATAAGCGTTAACTTAGTTTTGTTAGCTTAATGTGTTAGTTCTATTGATTGTTGCTTTTAATTGTTGTTGTTGTTGTTGCTGGCATAAAATGCCTGTTTAGGATGTTTGGTAAGCTGGTAGGTGGTGTAGCTGCCAAAACAGGCAGTTTCTGCCAAAAATATACCAAGAAAAGCGACCAACTTTGGTCTCTATTTGGTCGCATTTCACTATAAAAAAAATAATTTTCTAGGCAATAGCGACCAACCTTGGTCGCTACCTGCCCAGATTTCTATTAAAAAAAATATAATTTCTGGAAATATAGTGACCAATGTTGGTCGCTTATCTTTAAAAAAAATTAAATTCTTGAATTTAGCGACCAACTTTGGTCTCTATTGCCCAGATTTTAAAATATAATATTTGGATTAGAGACCAAAGTTGGTCGCTTTCTAATGATTAATGATAAATTAAAAACAACGTATTTCATATCTAGAGACCAACTTTGGTCGCAAAATTTATATTATTAAATTAATATAGCGACCAAAGTTGGTCACTAAAGTCAAAATCAGAATATATGGTCCTTTTACCTTAGAGACCAAAGTTGGTCGCTAATTAGCGACCAACTTTGGTCCCTAAAATAAAGGGACCAGCAATATTGCGACCAGACATGTTTGGTCGCTTTTAGGCCTATAAGCGACCAACTTTGGTCGCTTTTTGTGGTCGCTTTTTACCGAATTTCTAGTAGTAATTCCACTATCACTATATTTTTTCATTTTAAATAATAATTAGATGGTGATAATGATTAATAGATCTATCTTGCTTTTATTAATATTTCTAAATGATAAGAAGAAAAGCCACAAAGTAAGTCAAAATAGATTAGCGCCCAACCAAATCCTAATTAGGCAACAACAGTCAATCATAACGAAAAGATTAACTTAAACGACTGCTACATTGACAAAAGTTTTCCCTGATTATTTTTTTGTTGGTTATTGTAAATATTTAGAGTTGTATGACTGAAAACCTACGTTTGTACTGAACCTACACTTTTATTTTTGAGGCACACAATTGAGTTGCTACAGCAGTTTAAGAAGGTATATTACAGATAGTCATCAAAAGATATTGTAGAGCTGCAATATCTCTAGCTCAACTATCTCAAAATTCGCTTCCTCTAAGAAAATTGAGAAAATCAAAATGGTTTTCGTGATTTTTGTAGTGTATATGATTGTCATTGCTCTACAAGAAGCACATTTTGCTTGGTAAAAGTAAGAGCAGTGCCTCTGTTGGCTGAGTTATTACAAGGCAACAAAAGAGAAGCCGATGAAGCTGCACTAACTTGACTTGAAACATTATTACAAGATGAGATTTGAGAAAATGACAGCAATTTCTTAGTGAAAATGTCATGTGTGCAACCAATTATCAAGAATCTTGAAGAAGGGATCAGCTCGAAAGCTTAGGAGAGATCACTTTGAATTTTGGAAAGGATTTTCAGAGTGGAGGCTTATAGAGTAGAGTGTGGTGAATTTCCACAAGTTGTGCTAATATGGTATATATATATATATATATATANAGGGACATGCAGATTTTCTATTTTCTTATGAAAACAAGCCAACATTACTAAACATGAATAACATGATACAGAAAAATGCAAAATCTAAATATAAATGTATGACATCATACCATCATGAATGTGGCCTTTCTACAGAAATCTAAAAGAAAATACTTTTATGTAATAATCTCAAAGCACTCAAAGTTGTAGACAAATGAATGTTACACATTAGTCATAAACCCAATATTTGTTGATTTCAAGCTTTCCTAAAGACAGGAACTTTATCTCATCCCCGTCTATTCTATATAACATCACTTATGATAAAAAACAGTGCATATTAGTCAACAATGCATTAAATATTACCTGAGTTGAGGCTACTTCAATTGAATGGGCTTCTTATTCTTTAGCAGTGCCTTCAAAGTCGATCTGAATTATTAACTTATTCTTTGCATCGGCATCTACATAAGGAGATGTGCAGTGATTATATTGTGACATTTTGTAGGGATCCGAGAAGACAACTTGCTCAGCGAGTCAACACAACTCGACGTTCCTACAAAATTCAGCAACCGCAGAAATGAATAGAGGTCAAAATCTAACAGAAATAACTGTCATGACCATGATATAGCTTGCCAGTGGCTATAAAAAATCAAAAGTTAAGCTCTCATTGAATGACTGGTTAGTGTATGGTTTAATTTATTGAAGAAAAAAATGGTCTCGACAGAAGAAAATATCAAGAGAAATGTATTAGAAAGAAACAGGCACAGAGACAATGAAGAATAGACAAAATAGAAACTACAATTAGTTAGAATACCTAACCATACATGCAGAGAAAGATATTTTTTATAAACGACATGCAAAGAAGTTGCAAGATAAAAAAACAAAAGAAAAATAAAGTTACCTCACTTGCACCCCGGCGTAACTCCTCTTCCACTACCTTGGATTGGTGTTATCACAACAAACATGTTACCTATGCTCAGTAAAGGATGCAAAATAGTTGTCATTACATTCTAAGATACCTCAGATCATAAATTTATTTTTCCTTGAGAAGATCATCAAATGGTATTTACAGTTGGAATAGTTAAACGATATAACTTAGTTTTGGATCACTTAGCACTATTAGACCAACTAATGTTATACAAAGCCTAGGTGCTGGAAAAGCCAAATAGAAGTTGGCAAACTAAGCAATGCACAATGACTAACATCAAGAAAGTATAGCAAGTCAAGTTGATACACACAGAAGAATAATTAGCTAATTTCCACTATAGAAGGTCTGAGCAGCTGTCTGTCCACAGTATGCTAAATTATTCACAATTGATTCAATTGAAGGAAGTACCATTCCAAATAAGGAGTTCGTGATCCAAGTCCAACATTGAAGTTGTTATCTGACTACTAATTCACCTGAGTTGTGGTCAGCAACATCACAAAGATATGTTGGATCTTTTAAAATCTTTTTCAGCTTTAGTTTGCAGTCCTCGCCTAACTGGTTTATATAATCTATATGTTTTACACAGCCAGGGAAAAAAATAAGAATTAATAAGACATCAAAAGTGCTATCTGCTGGTGACCATAGTAAAATTCCAGGGAAATAAGTACTCTATGTTCTGTTTGGTTTACAAAATCATTTCTTGAACTAAGGTGAAAACCTTTCAGTTTTTAAATTCCAAAAAGCTTATTTCATCAAAATTTTCGCACATAAATGGTGAGGATGAGAATCGCCTCATAAGGACCTTTTGGAATCAAGTCTTATTATAGTTTGATAAAGTTGAAATAGACGAAATTTAAGATTAAAGCATTAACAGATTGAAAACGCAAAGCAGAGGATGTATGAAAATATCAGAAAATGTGCACACAGGATAATTAGAGAAGGAGCAAATGACCTCCCGAAGAATCGTCTGTCGATGCTCAGGCACCTGCTTTCTTAATGATTTGTTCGTAAACGATATTAGAGGTAGAATGATCGTCATGGCTAGTTGGTGTCGATGGCCGAATCAACATCTTTATACAATTTGAACTCTTTGCTCTTGATAAGGCAACATAAAGCTGACCGTGTAAAAATACAGGTTCCCACAAATAAATTCCAACAAAATCTAAAGTTTGACCTTGTGCTTTATTTATAGTCATAGCAAAGTATAATCTAACAGGAAATTGTGTTCTTTTGAACTGAACTGGCGTTTTCTCATCCTGTGATGATAATAATGGTATTCTTGGGATAAACACATGCATATTCTTGAAATCACCTACCGTGATTTTAGTGCTAATAACATGACTTTTAAAATCACAACAGGTCAATCGCGTACCATTACATAAACCTTCACATGGATTTAGATTTCGTAATAATATAATTAGATAATTCTCTTTTAAACATAATTTGTAAGGAGGCAAACCAGGAGGATTTAAAGTGTGTAGTAGATCTTCAAGTTGTATTTGGTTGTTAAATTCGATAGCCTCATCAGTATCAATAAATATTTTTGATTTTCCTGCGAATCGACCAATAAGCATGTCATTAATTTCATCAACAAAATCATTTTTTGTTGTCAAGATCACATGGGAATCTATACATGATGAATTAGAATATAACGAATCCAAATTTGAATATGTTGCTGCGAATAATTTATCAAGAGATTCTCTTTCAGTTGTATAAGGAATAATCAAAGAATCTATAATTTCAATCTTGTCTGCTGAGTTGACTCATTCTTGTCCATTTCCAATTCTTAGCAAATAATCACAAAGTGCAGGATCTGTTTTATCTCTCATATTCTCAAATAACTTTAATTTTTCAAGTTCATTCCAAATGCTAGAATATAACAAACTTTCGCCAATGAAATCTTCTTTTTTCCGTATCGCACAACAGGAAGAGTCTGTCTAAAATCACCTCCTAAAACTATAACTTTTCCGCCAAATAATGCATTTGTATTCATCAGATCTTTTAACAGTAGATCAAAAACTTTTAACATTCTTCTTTTGGCCATAGATACCTCATCCCACACAATCAATTTTGCATCCCGGATTAACCCTGCAAGTGAGCTTTCTTTGCTAATGTTACAACTGGTATTTTCATCGATCTCAATAGGAATTTTGAAACGTGAATGTGTAGTACGTCCACCTAGAAAAATAGAAGCCGCAACACTAGAAGTAGTTGTTGCCAAAGCTATATATCCCATAGATCGTACAGTTGCCAATAAAGCACGGTATAAAAAAGTTTTCCCTGTTCCTCCGGGACCATCTATAAAAAAGGAACCTGCTTTATTCGAAAATATCCTTTTGGTAATCAGATTATATGCAATGTGTTGGTTTTTGTTTAATTTCCTATGTAACAGTATGTCATCTTCACTAACAATAATAGATCTTTCAAAATGAATCTCGTTTGCTTCTCTTGCTGCTGTAGAAGGCCTAATAGTTTCTGGAATGAGTTCATATTCATTTATATCATGACCCATAGAATGTAAAATATCGTTGATATGATTCAAAACTTGATATCGAATTTCTCTTCCTTCAGTAATTTGTAACACTTTGTAGTCTTCAATCATCGATTCTTCAAATTGCTCCCATAATTTTCTAGGGTTGGAAGGGTTGCAATATACTAATAATGTATCAAATAAACACCTTAAACTATATGGCATTTGGTAACTTGCGGCTTCAAACATACACTCTATCAAACTATTATCACATTGTAACAATCCTCTTTTCTCTACAAACTCTCTATAAGTACTACAAGGCTCTCCATTCACTATCAAAAGATCCTTATATGATGTCAGTCCTCGTACATGCATTAGTAGTAATCTAAGATAACATCGTTCTCCTTCTGCTGGATGACATGTCACAATGCGGCCAACAACACAATGCTTTTGTCTACGTGCCCAAAATTTATCATTGGAGGACCACACAAAGTATTCAGAAAATTCTTTATACAGTAAATTGAGCTCTTTAGCATCTTCATTAGTTTCGTTCATGGAGAAAAATTCTGTTAACATTGTTTTTTGAATCATCGGATTATTCACAATTGTATGTATATCCGTATTTCTCTTAAAAGAAATAAATTGTTGACCTTCAAGATGTAATTGAAGACGATAAACGCTGGGAGACATTTCATTTATTGGAAAACCAAAGAGACGCCAAATAGCTTCTGGAGGTGATACCCATCTAGCAGATCGATATTCTTCTATCTCATCTATTTTTATGTTGTATCATTATTTTGTACACAAAATGCAATCTTATCATGTTCTTTACAAATGTATTTGTAGAAATATTTCACGACTTTGATGTTAGAGCAAACTTCAACATTTAAATGACAATTGAATCTCCCAAGTAAATATGGATTGTACGGAACAACCCAGGATTTATCTAAATATCATTCTCTTACTTTCACAACTTCCCATGTATTTCGTCTTCTATAGACTGGATAAGAATCGTTTCCTTTTATTGTCTGATTGGCAAACATTTTTGGATATTTCAACTTGTAGTAACCCTTTTTTTCATACAAGAATTTGTTGGGTCTAAACTACCGCAAAGATCGTGCATCATATGTTTGATGACAAGCTTACGCAAATCTGATTCTGTCTTATCATCTGGTAATTCTGCTCTAATAATATCATCATATGCCTCTGCTGTCAGCAGTTTATGCTCATTACCTAGTATAATAAGAAAATGAGCATGGGGTAAACCTCGTTTCTAAAACTCCACAGTGTATATAAAAGCAATAATTTTTCCAAAGATATTTCATTTTAATATATCCGTCTTCAGTTCTTCTATTTTAGCCTTGAACACTCGAGTAATCAAATCAGGTCTATTTTGTGCCTCGCCAGTTGACCATAGATGTTCTTTTATTTCTGTCTAAAATGGGTTACATGTCATAGTTATAATCAAATCAGGTTTATCGAAATATTGCACTAATGCAATAGCATCCATATAACGCTGACGCATATCTCTAGGACCTCCTATAAAAGAATTTGGCAGAAAATTTTGTTTTCCAACATTAGAAGCATCTCGTTCACCAAGTCTTAGAATATCATAAAGTCCTTGCAGTGTACCCATTCTGAATAAATTTTGATTGAATGAAACAAAGTCTAATCTTTGTGTCTCCAATTTTATATATTCATCAACTGAATACTACTGGAGTAATCTTCATGTATGCAAAATTTCATCTTCATCATTGTTTCTCATCTGAAGTTTGTAGCAGTAGTATTCGCGAACTGAAACTGCATCTCTTTTGCGTTTTCCTTTTTGCAGATTTTGAGCTTATATATCAAGATATCTATCAACAGATGTGAATTTTTTAATACTCGGCAATTGTTCAAATTCAGCCAGAGTGCGACTTCTACGAATATTTTTTGCTTTGGGAAACATTTTAATACCACAATTCCATCCACCTTGACCATATGAAAATAACAACGGGTACTGTAAAGGGTCATAACATCCAAAATAGTAGTGCACTCTTTATGTCCTGTCACTGTGAGTATAAATTTGAAGATGTGGTGCATGAGTAGTAGAATCATCATTTTCATCAACCCATATTGCTGCAATTTCAGTAGTAGTAGGTAAATTATATACGCGTTGATCCAATCCAGCATCACTTTCAGTGCTATATGAAATTTTTGCAAGTTTAACATGTCTGCCAAGGATCGTAGAAATATTGAGTACGTATTATCCTTTAGTATGTCCATCAATTCTTTCACTATTGTTTCATTTAATTTGCCTGAACAAGCCATTCCATTTCCAAGCTCATTTGCATTATCATAAAAGTATAGTTGCAAATTATTTGACCTTCTTTCTTTGGGATATAAATCATCTGTCAAATGATACATCTGTCTTTGAACTCTAAACATGTAGATACCACAGTTTCTCTTGGCTAAATCTTTATCACAACTGACACCAAGTGATCTAAAAGCAAACATATGATTATATGTTCTAATATATGTTCGGAAATGCCTGGATTCTGCATTGTTTCCCATATATAAATTTTTTAGTTTAGTTGGCATTCGATGAGAGCTTAATCTCACTGTACCACTGCCACAACAAAATCCAGGGGGTTCATACCGAAATCTTTTCGCATAGCAGAATAAGCAGTTTGGAATCTTTTTTAACGGAACATAATCAGAGCATAATTGGTTAATGTTAATCGTAGTTCTCTTATTCTTTACGCGGCCTACATAGTGCAGATAATTAATTGTGAGAGATGAAAATAGAACGATCGATAAAATCAATAAAGGATGATCGTTAAACTAACCTTTAGTTGTAATTGTTTCAGAGATTGGAGTACATGAATCATTTGTGGTACTCGATGTTGAACCTGGTTCATAATAGTTATCGATTAATTAATATGCACAATACACACATAAGTTAAATAGATACTACATTTTTGTGGTTTTACCTTTTTCAAAAACATGAAAAGGCTGGATCATATCTTTTTCCTTGTCAAAGACATCGGATGACGAAAAAGCTCGACACTCAGTAACTGCATGTTCAAAAATAATGATCATGCTCGTAAAGATGACATATTTGTAATAATTATGTATGCATGTATTATAGAAGCAAGGGAAAGGATAGATCATTTGATGTTCTAACCTGTTTGTGAAGAGGAACAGGACAGTCCAGTATTAATATTATCATGTATATGAGATGTTGTTCCAATGCGATTGATATTATTTGTAGTTGCAAGAAGGCGTTTAGTTGTTGCCTCGCAAATTTTCAGGCATCGTTGCAATAACTTCTCTTCTCTCATGAGCTTCTGTCACCGAGCGAGGGCTCTTTTTGGATTGTCGACTATCCATTAATCTGATTTTATTGAACTATTGATACTTCAATTGTCCTAAATATCGTTATACAACAGTAGAATTATGATTTTTTTTATCAAATAGCAAAGATACAGGAAAAACAACAATTAACTATAATGAGTAAAAGACGATACAACTATTTCACCATATTTATTTTGTTATAAACACGTATGATTATGAAACATACCATTATAAAATATTGAATACTTAATATTAACACAATAATTATGATAAATTAGTCGTAGTTTATTTAGCTAAGATAACCCAAAGAGCGCCCATCTTGTCATATAAACTGTAAATTATAAACAATATCCAAATAGGTGAAGTATTAGATGAAGTAACACAAAATTCACTTAAGTCATTACCCACTTGGTGTGATAAAAAGCAAGACAGGGGAAAGAAAAAAAGAAAAACTATGGGCAGTACTTTTAAATTTTAAGCAGAAGGTTGAAGATTCTACATAACTGTGGATAAAGAAATTCTATCACTGTCCCATCATTCACTTATAGTTTGTTAGCTAAGTTTCTTTGCATACGTTATGTTGACATTGAACTTCAGTTAAGCCAAGTTAGAAAAGAGGAAATCCAAGTCAATTGAAAATTTAACCAAACAGACATCGAAATTCAATTGAATTTAGTGTATAAGTTGTTCTCCGTCGAGAGACTCTACTTTGGTACACTACTGAATAAGTGCACTAATTTGTAATTTATGGCAATAGCTTAAAGAACAACCTTAAAAGTTACTATCTGTGAAAAATGAGCGTGAGTCATTGTTCTACCCGAACTTGGATTTCCCCTTCAATCCGGTGAAACACAAAAAACGACTATCATTCTTCGTCAATATTCCACCATTTTTATTCACTTTTTTCCAACGAACTGTCTTACTAAGCAGAATATCCTCCTTGAATTTCTAGCTCATAAAGGTTAGTTAGTTCTAAGCTTTTTTGGTAGTTGACATCAATATCAACTTTTATACAATATAAACAACAGGCAAGTGAGGCAATCAAACAGTAAAAAAGAAAGCAATCAAATAAAAAATTTACCCTTTTTTAATCAAGGAGCAAAGAACTCCAAGTAACCCAATCTTCTATGTAAAGTATCAGAAAGAGTAGATATGTTATCGATATTAGAACAAATCCAAAAGTTGGGAATTTATAATAAGGATTGGAGATAAAGGATAGAAAAAGATGGAAATTTATAACAGAACGAAGATAACAGAGGTGGAAGTTAGAGAAAAACAGAGGAAGCGGTGGCAAGATGAAGATGAACAATAGAGGCGCCAAAATTTTGCTAAGCACCCACGCGTCAGAGCGGGAAGCAAAACGTGTCTTATTTTGTAAGCGCAGGAGGGTGTAGGGTTTTTTATAATTTTTCAATGCAATGCTATATTGAGGATTAGGGGTAAAATAGGAATAAGCTGAGATTTAATGATTTTTTTTGTAAAATCACGTTGACCGGATGTTGGTAAAAATAGCACGGTATAGCCAGTTTTCGGATTGGTCATTCAAAAATAGCCAGCGTTTACCAAGTCAATGAAAAATAGCCACTATTTTGCTGCAACAGAGACCGGTCCAGCATAATATACTGGAGTTCGGTGCACCTGTGTATGAACTCCAGCATATTATGTTGGACCGGTATAGTTTGCTGACTCCAGTATAATATACAGGAGACTGGAGCACCGGTGCTCCAGTCTCCTGTATATTATACTGGACAATTATACTTGCTGGAACTCCAGTATATTATGCTGGAGTTCTAGTGTACTTATGCTGGAACTCCAGTATAATATACTAGCGTATTTTTCGGGTTTTGAATAGTGTTTTCGCTCAGATTTATCTTTACATGAAAAGTGGCTAAAATTCGATTAGTTTTGAAACTGAGCTATTTTTGAACGACCAGTTGTAAATCTGACTATTTTTGAATTTCTCCCCGGAAGTTGCTGCTGATTCCCATTTCTAAAGAGTAGTAATACTTTACTTTATAAGGTGTTCTGTCCATATCACTATTTTACGTTTGGTTTATCAATTTTGAAATTTTGGTGTGATGACTCAAAAGGGTCATCACTTGTATTGCAAGTGCATTTAGTATTCCGAGGCCAAAAAAAAACCTCCCTTTTTTCCCACCTTGATTTGCATGCATGGTCTGGACCTATATCCGGAAAGCCTTCTATGTGAAAATAAGATAAATAGAAATTCTAGAGTTAAAAATTTGATTATGGTTGACTTTGGTCAACATTTTGAGCAAACGGACCCGAATCCGTATTCGGACGATCCCGGAAGGTCCACAGTAAAATATGGGACTTGGGCGTATGCCCGGAGATGAATTCCGAGGTCCCAAGCCTTAGAAATCAATTTTTGAAAGAAATTATTTTACTAAATTATCTAAGAAATCAAGAAAAGAATTAATGTTTGAAACCATTGTTATCGGGCCAGTATTTTGGTTCCAGAGCCCGGTACAAACTTGTTATGGTATTTGAAAGATAACTGTGAAACTTGGTGAAAAACGGAGTTTATATGACGTGAGTTGGATTTCCAGTTGAAGAGTTATGAACTTTGAGAGTTCTTGATGAAAAGGCTGAGTTTTGAGATTTAATTCATGATTTTTCATGTTATTTTGATGATGTGATCGCACAAGTAGGTCCATATGATATTTTTGAGTTAGTATGCACACTTGGTTTGGAGTTCCGAGGGCTCGGGTGAGTTTCGGATAGGTTCCGGAATGTCTTAGGCCTAAAATCAGATATTGCAGGTTCAGAGAAGTTGTAGGTCTCTGAACCCGCCAGTGCGGTCCGCAAGAAAACGTGTGCGACCGCGGAAGGGGCCAGTGCGGTCTGCGGTCGACCTTGTGCGGTGCGCGGTGGAGGGCTATGCGGCCGCAGTCGACTTTGTACGGTCCGCATAGGGGCACTGGACTGCAGTATCCTCAGGAAGGACTGTGCGGCCGCAGTCCATTTTGTGCGGTCCGCACAAGGGGTCTGAGAGGGGTATAAATAGACGGGATTTTCAGTTATTTTTCATTTTCCAAAACCCCAAAAACATAAGAGACGATTTTTAAAATAACCTTTCTTCTCCAAAACATTGGTAAGTGATTTCTAACTCGTTTTCTTCAATCATTAACATCTTTTCACATGATTTCAACTCAAAATCAGTGATTTTCATGGGGGAAATTTGGTGCTTTAGGTAGAACCTAGGTTTTTAATAAATTGGATATTTGGACCTCGATTTGAGGTCCAATTTCAAAAAAATCATATATTTGGGTTCGTGAGGGAATGAGTAATCGGGTTTTAGTTCGAACCTCGAGTTTTGACCATGTGGGCCCGGGGGCAGTTTTTGACTTTTTGGGTAAAACTTTGAAAAACTTATTTTCATGCATTGGGGTCGATTCATTTAGCGTTTATTGATGTAATTTGTGACTAGATACAAGCGAATTGGCGATGGAATCAAGGGGTAAAGCTATAATTGAATCGTGAATTTTGTTCGTGGCATCGAGGTAAGTATTCGGTCTAACCTTAGCTTGAGGGATTAGGAGTTGTGTCCTACTTGCTAATTACTTCTTGTTTGGTACGACGTATAGGCATGGTGACGAGTATCTATACGTTGGTGTCGAGCATGACCGTGAGTCTTAAATTGATATTTGTTGTGATCTTAAATGATACTACGAATGCTTTAATTGGCGATTCTCGATATTGAGCAATGACTTAGTTTGTTTTCGTGGAATTTACTTATGATTGAGTAATGGTGAAAAGTGAGACGAATAGGAGTTGAGTTAAGATTGGTTATAGCCGATTCTCCCTTGCCGGGATGTATATACTTGTACTGTTGAATTCTCTAGCCGGGATAGTGTAGTTTATTATGGATCCCTTGTCGGGACTGTTATTATAATTATTATTGATTGTATATTTGGATCGGGTTGCACGCCGCAACAGTTATATATTTGGATCGGGTTATACACCGCAACAGTTATATATTTGGATCGGGTTGTACGCCGCAACAGTTATATATTTGGATCGGGTTATACACCGCAACAGTTATATATTTGGATCGGGTTGTACGCCGCAACAGTTATATATTTGGATCGGGTTGCATGCCGCAACAGTTATATATTTGGATCGGGTTGCATGCCGCAACAGTTATATATTTGGATCGGGTTGCACGCTGCAACAGTTATATATTCGGATCGGATTGCACGCTGCAACATTGTTAAATGAAAAGGGATCGGGTTGCGCGCCGCAATAGTATTATTATTGTATTGTTGTAGATATTGAGCTGCCCTTCCTATTTCTATTCAGTTTCTGTTGGATTTGATATGTTTCCCCGAAGCATGTACCCTCTCCCATTTAAACTGCTTATTCCTACTTATTTTCTGCCATACATTATATAATTGCACATGTTTAACTGGAGTCGGGTCCTAGCCTCGTCACTACCTCGCCGGGGTTAGGCCATACACTTACCAGCACATGGGGTCGGTTGTACTGATGCTACACTCTGCACTCTGTGCAGATACCGGAGTAGCATTAGGACAGTAGCTTGGGAGCCAGCCTTCAGTCCACCGAGATTCCGAGGTAGTCCTGCAGGCGTCCGCATGCCGTCGTCTCTTCTATCTATTATTATGTTATGTTATCACTTGTATCTGAGACAGACTGTGTTTCTTTCTTTCAGACATTTGTATGTAGTGGTCATAGACGGTCTGTGAATGTTGTGACACCGGTTTCTGGGTAGAGACATATGTTGGTTTTTCGTATCGATTTTGGTATTATATTCATCTAAGTCTTCCGTTTAATTTCATCTTCCGCTATTATTTAAATATTGATCACATGTTATTACAAATTGTTAAAAAGGAATAAAATGAAGGAGTTAAAATTTCTGAAATTCATGGCTTGCCTAGCTTCTACGAGTAGGCGCCATCACGACTCTCGAGGGTGGGAAATCCAGGTCGTGACAAGTTGGTCTGTTGTAGTTTTTATTATTTATAATAATCATATATTAGAAAAGGTAATAGTAAATTGGATGAGGTTTTTTGCGATCATGCGAAGCGCGACAAATTTACTAGTTTTTAGTATAATGGACAAGTAAAAGTAAATGAAATGGCTAGTTTTGGCTATATTGATCTTTTGTTTCCTTCATGAATCTTATTAGCATGTTTTTTACTAAATTTGCATAAATTTGAGAGATTATACATTTTTCGAGATACTAGGGCTATTAATTTGGCCCAAGCCCAAATGATCCACCCAACCCGTACAAGATTGGGCTGGTTATTGACCCAACTATTTATTGAACTCAACTCATTCAAAGTTGGGCTGATTTTTTGCCCAAATTGATCCATGAGTATCTTTGCCAAATTATCTTAGAAATAATTTTTTTTGTTTGATATATTATATATGACCAATACAAAAGAAAAAAAAAGTCTTATTTAGTAATTATACAGTCATAAGAAAACAACACATTAAGTAAAACTTGATAAAAGTTGGGCGGTTGGGCTATGACCGAAATTTTAGCTCATCTTAGCCCAAATAACTTTTGGAAGAGTCATTTGACCCGCCTAAAATAGGCCTAACCCGCCATTTGATACCCCTACAAGATACCAATAACTTAAAACACAAGTGGTACACAAAAAAAATGTGTTGTTTGATATGTTGAATAGTTACATCAATGTGTGAACTATATATGTTCAAGAATTGAGGAACTCAAGCTCCAACAACCCAAAATTTAAGGACATGAAATCAGAAATTTCCTAGCATCAGATTGCCAGAAGATGTCATGCACTCCAAAAGATTGGCAGCTTAACCATTTATCTTCCAGCAAATTGCTTGTTTCGCTTGAACAATCAAAGCAAACCCATGACTAATAGCTTAAAGCAGAATTTCATAGCTATAATCGAAAAATATCAGCGAGAAATTAACGAGCTTTATAAGCTCATAGGATTAAAGGTAGGTCAAGCTTTTAAGGTTAGTGCAAATTAAAGAAAAATGGAACATTTAAGAATGTATAGCCTTAGAGGGACAGGACAAGTGGTGAGGGTAGAAATAATTGTAAACAGAATGTGCAATAATTAGAAGATTCTTTACTTTATATTGCCTCTTATTTCTCAATCAATTAAAGACTTTCCTAGCTCGTCACATAATATTCCAGATTTATAAAAACATGACAATTGCCAAAAATCAGGCAAGTATATGCTTCTGATGTCTACAACCATGCACCAATTATTTCAAACTGTTATAAAATAAAAGCGATTAGTCAAACATGAACAAGAAATATAAGCAATTTAGTAAAACATGAAAGAAATGGAGATAGAGAGAAGGAAGAGATTT